CACACACACACACGCACACACACACACACACACACACACACACACACACACACACACATACATGTACATATACATATAAGCTGCTCGTTTGTTTAATCCATTACTATTATTGCTATCAAACGAGAGAATCTAAAATCTAAAAATAAATGAGCTCTTGCATAGAACTTGAATGTCAAAAGGTCTTGATATAAGATCACTCACTACACAAAACTTCATCAATGATGTTATCAACTTGTGGCATTTTATAGATTCTTCCTTTCTTTTGCACCTGCTCCTCTCTTTCTTCCTACCGACTCTCCCAAAGTTCAAAACTAAAATGTTGAATTATTATAGGAAATGCAGGAACTGCAACTACTACTAGTTATTTATCAAACAGAAAGAAAACCGACACAGACTGTTGTAAAGTTCCGCAAGCATCAGCAACTATCGCACGATGAGGAAGTGGTGGGCGATTGCTAAAAATGTGTAATATGAAGCGCCTGGTTTATTGCTTTCTGTGAATGTGAATTTTAAACGATGACGTTCTGAAACTATAAGTTATTGAAGATGTGATGATTTACATGTGAGATGGAGGTCATTGCCAGGTAACGAAACGCTGCGAGACAGAATGCAATTCGAGAAGTCTCCACAAATGGGATTCTTTAGATTACGAACTTTATCGCCAAGAATCAAATTTTGAAGAATATATCATTAAAATACCGCATATAAATTGGAAGTTACGCAAACTTGCTGGAAACATTAATAAATTTAAGAAAAAACTTTCAAAATATGTTCGTAAAATCAGATTAGAATATAAAATAAATTATAACAAACACAAGCAGTTCCGCAAATCCCTAAGCTCAATCTATTGTTTCTTGTGCAGGCCGAGACGTAGAATGCAAATTTGCCTTGATTTTTTTTTTTTTTTTTGTAATAGAAAAGAGATGTAATTAAGCAAAATGACGAAAGTTTGTACGCTTGTTGTAGTCTGCTGTTTCAAATTTGCAACTGCGATTAGCGCTAACTTCAGCTATACCTATGTCTGCAAAAGTTAGCTCTATTAAGCATCAGCATTCGAGGCAAAATAAAAATGATTTCGCAGAAACCACAAAAATAGCCATATTCCTCGAATAAATTAAATCCTTGCATATTTGGGTATGCGTTTGGTATCACCAACTGGGTGAATTAAAACAGATCCTTTTTATCTTCGATGATTTTATACGAACAACCTTTCTAAGCAACAATGAGCATTGATATTTTAGTTGATGATTAATCACTCCATGAAGTAACAGTGAGAGATTATGCAGTTTTTGTTTAATATTAAGAGGATACTTTATGAAGCGGGAAAAGATGTAAACGAACCATTGAGGGCCAATGGATTCCTTTTCGACTATATCATCATCAAGAGTGATGCGTATTTGTCCTTGAAAATAACTGTTGAAACCTGGTAAAACATCGTGCCAAAGTGACATTCGCAACTGCACTCGTTGTGTCCTTTGATTATTGTCGAGGATTGTTCCATCACATTCCATGAACAATGTTTCAGCGCTTTCCTGTTCAGCAAGAAAAAAGGAAAGATAAACTCATTTTGTCTAGTCCGCATTTTTCAAGCAGTGAGCTCTTTTGTCTTCAAGGAATTCGAATGAAGAATTTTTTCTCTTTGATCAATTCAATTCAAGTTGGTTACGATATAGTTTGACAGGAAAGCTAGTTACTAATAGGCTATGAAATGCGCTCTAGATTCAACCATGAAAATTTTCATTAAATAAGATGCTTCCTCAGTAGATCTTGGTTGAAAAAAGTGCTTTTTGGACAAGAAAACTTTGTGTAAGCTAATAAACTTAATATTTTAATGTGACTCCCAAACTTCCAATTTATGGCCTTTTTCATGAACCCATTCAAATATTTCAACAAGCAAAAAATTTATTAACTTACTCTGTTAATGCCGATGTTCAACTTTTTGGATTGCACAACTCGCGTTGCCACTTGTAGTGTTACCAATAAGTACAGATCCGCCGGTTCACGTACATTTAATCCTGTATAGTCCACTACCCTGCAGAAAAAAGGAGGGGATAAATTGCAGAATTATTTCAGACATATTCGTTACCAAAACGATCTGTTTTGCAGAATAAATTAGTGAATATTTATTAATGCAAATTTGCTAAAGGAAGATGCGAAATTTATCGCCAAAATCTGGCTATCAAAATATGATTTAGTTGGCTTTTCTAGTGATGGATTTTCAGCTTGATGCCTCAGGGAAAAAAAGGAAGGACAAAAAGTTTTTAAACTTTCGGAAGTTACATCACAACATTGTGAGATGTAAAACCTATACTGTCCATTTCCTACTAAAGGGTGGTACTGGTAGAAGCGATATTATGGTCAATCGATATGGTCAACACTTAATGCATCTTAATCACATTTCAAAAGGAATATTTTGTCCATACTCGCCAATTATGTGTTACAAGAAGAAACCAGAAAACAAAAAGTAATAGTAAATTACAACTCGGTGGGAGATGAGAAGAGGAGAGAAAGCAAATATGAGAAAGAGTAAATGATAACAGCAATTGTTTGAAATTTATTCTTTGCTTTTTTTAACAAGCGAAATCGTCAAGAATAAGGAAGCATTTTTCAAATAAGAAACTTTTGCTCAACCTTATACTGCAGCAGTGCTATCTGTGATGTTTAACTCTGTTCCTCACTAAACGACCGAAATCCTCTACATGACAATCACCATGTTCATTGTGCTCCAAAGCAGCAAGCTTTCTGACGATGTTGCAAGCAGAACTGATTCAAAGTCTGGTTCTATTGAAAGGTTGGCTAGACTTAGTACTTATATAACGAAACTACTAGAAACCAGGATTTTTTCATCCTAAGTTGAAGATATTTTGTAACACTCTTACTGGTGACAAAAATGAACAAAACCGAAGGCATCGATACAAGAATATTCCTGTACTTCTATATATCTTATAAAATCAATCGATAAACCTATGTCTTAACATTATTAAAAATTGAAATCAAAACGAAGAATCAATTTACATAAACATCTTGTCGAAGGGCAGAAATTTTTTCTAATTTTCCCGAAAAATAAATAACCGGTATATAAATAATTGACACAAATAATTAGACACAACCAAGAATTCGGAATTACTGCACGAATTCTTTTTTTTTTGGAGGAGAAAGTTGTTTCTCTATCTTAGCTGCACAAGATATCTGGCAAAAATTTACTTCTATCATCAGAAACAAGGTTAAATAAAGGTAGCGCAAATAGCAAATAGCAAAACTTCAAGAAAGGAACTGAAAACGGAAACCGTATATGCCATGCGTATTCTTGTATTATTTTTGTTGACAGTTCGGTATTTTATTGTTCTTTTACTTGTAGGCAAGAAAACAGGTGTTAGGTGGCAATAACTAGCACCAGTTGTTAATCACAGATTTTTGCCCATTTCATCTATAAAATCATTTAGAAACTTTGAAAAATTTTCATACCTTTAGCGTTCAGTTGTTTACAAAAGAATACCAATCAGGATAGAGCTTTGGAGTAGTAATTCAACAGTCGAAATACAAAAACAAATGAAGAAGTCTGCAAGATTTTGAAGAATGAAATCACCAAACAGTGCTTTCTAATGTATCTCTAATAATCTCGAATTTTTGAGCAAAGTTCAAAAATTAAGGATTGAATCAAAGGAATTTTAAATCAATAGCGATGACGAAATAAGTGTGAAGTCATGGATAAGCCTGACAAGTAACACTCAACAGAACATCTACTCCGCCTATCCTTAAAAAGCCCGAAATAATAAAAGTATTAAAATGTGGCCCGTTGGTATAAGTTTCAGACGAAATGCCATCAAACGGGGTTACGGTTAGATTAAGACAGCTGTGCAACATAAAAAAGTTGATAGACAGGACAGAAAAGGTCAACCAGAAATGACCGTGTAATGAAAGAGATCAAAAAGAAAAATATATCCGTTCACGGCAATTTGGTAGATTTGTCAGCTATGAGACTCAGGAATCACCAGATATTTCATTCATTTGCGTCAGAGCAGTGCTTTGCGCACATTTCTGTAAATGACGCATAAGCAGATTGCACCATAAAACTAAGAGTATTTGAAATTTAAATTCAAACTTTATCCGATACTTTCCCTCAATTTAGATTAAGATATCCTCAAGGACTATTTTGTATGCCATCAGTGTCTCATCGAGCGGAATTGTGATGATCTGAGAGTGACAAAGTGCGATCAAGAATTCATTTTAGATATGTTCTTTGCTAAGCATACTTTATTGTTGATAGTGTCTACATTATAAAAGGTAGCACTCAAACTGATTTTCTGGAACGATATGTCGGCTATATTTTTTGTGCTCAATTTTTTGCGCAAATGCGTAAATGTATTGATCGAGGAAAAAGACGAAAAAGGTTGGAAAAGATATTTAAAATGCTGATCTCATCAGTTCGCCTATAAATTTATTGATATGAATCATTGCGAAAACTTCCTCATTTCGGATGTAACTGGACAGAAACTCAAATATTATGTCCGAAAATTTAAATTCAAAAAAAAAAATTTGAAAAAAAAATGTCCCAGTCTCAGACACATTTTGTGATAAGTATCATGCGGAAAATAATTATGCAAAAATTAGGTCTTAATGGAAATTAATTATTTGAACGACCGCTTTATGGTAAAATCTCTAGCTCTAGTTTCTTTTTCTTCTTCACCCTTTATGTTTGGATGCACAATTTTTTTCCCCAACACTTTCAGCAGTAGTCATACTGTCCGTCCATAAAAGCCACCGGAAGTTTGATAATTCGAAAGCCGAAAGGAAACAGGAGAAATGATTCCCCAAGTGTTCTCTTCTTCCCTTTCTTTATTTGCAGCTGTCGAGATAACTAATGGTCTATCTAGTCTAGCTTTTATGCAATCAAATATCGAATTACTTATCGAGCATACAGAAAATAGCAATCCCTCTCCAATTCATCCACCAATTCCGTTCCTTTCATCGGCCATGGCTTTTTAAAATATAAGGAGAGAATATG